CCCTCCCGGGCTCCGGCGGCGCAGGGTCTCCAAGCACGGGGCTGCCCGAAGCCGGTAGTGTTCAGGCAGCCGGGCTCTTAAACAGAGCCGCCATTTTCCCGGACATGTTCGGCTTTTTGTCAATTCCCCCCGGACGGGGGTTTGACTGCTGAAAAGCCGGACATGTCCGGGAAAAAGAGGACGTATGGTAACCCTATTCAACCTTCTCTAGACTTTAGTAACTGATTAACTTTGTGTCATCTGCAACTTTTGCTACCTCATTTTTTTTAAACACACTCTTTCTAGATCGTTACTAACCATATTAAAACACTGGAACTAATAGGGAACCTTGAGGCCCATTGTTAACTTTTTACCATGAAGAAAATTGACCATACTTTTTTCCCTGTCTCTTAGATAATTTTTGCCCACGGTACTATTTAGCCTCTCACCCCAAGACTAGTTAGTTTTTCTGGTAGCCTCTTGTGAGAAACCTTGCCAAAGGTCTCTTGAAAGTGTATATAAATAAGAAAGTTGACTGACAATCTATTACAATTAAACAAAGGACAAAAACAATTTTTATTTCTTTTAAATTACAGGGGGTATGGTAGCATAAGTATTTTTCACATGGTTAGTACGTTTCATCCTTGGACTCATAGGTTTGGGTTAAGTTTTCAAACCGATTATTATTTATTATTAGTGTTCCTTAACGGGCTCTAGCTAGTGTTATAGTGTAACTAAGTTACAGGAGAATAAATTTCTGAAAATGTTTGAAAAAATATTTAAAACTGTAACAGACACAAAAAGGGTTCACATGTAGTTCATTTAAAAACAACTGCTGGATATCAGCATATATCATACGTAATTAGAAAATGATTCAAATACCTCAACTTTTACTAAAAAGATTCCCTCCCCTTTTATAAAGTTAGTTTAAAAAAAACAGGGTGTGTGTGATAAGCAACTTCAATGAAGTCTTAATGGTTAAAAAATATTGGGCTTGTCTGGAGAACACCTGCTTGACCAACTTTTTGCCATATACTGCTATACATTTTGATGACTGAGTAGATTGACGAGATCCTCCTCACTATTTTAATGAGCAGTTTAATTCAGCTGATTATCCAGTAAGAAGTAGCATTTTGTTAGACTCCCTCACATCCTTAGTTTTCAATATTGCCTTGTTCTCAGTAGCTCAAAGGACTAGGAGTTTCAGCATAATCTGGGAGGACAAGGAACGCTAAGAAAAGGGATCTGAAGAAGAGTCTGGTCAGGGCTGGTGCAACAGGCAAAGTATATGATTTTGGGAGCAGTGTTCTGGATGGATTGATGGACAATAAGGCTAGAGTTAGGCAAGTAGGGATAGCTCAGTTGAGTTGATAAAGCCTTGGACAAGAATCAACAATGGGAATAGCAAAGAATAATAGACTTTTTGAGCAGTTGAGAAAAAACAGGATTCAGCAGTTACTGTAAGTGGAAAGGGGGGGAGAAGTGGAGAGAATGATTGAAAGAGGACACCAAAATTAAGAACATAATTGAATATCAAACTTATACATTAATACAACAATACTTGCCTTTTAAAAAAAGTTACTTTCCATTTTCTTGCTAAATGATGATGATCCAGTTCACAGAGAAACACACTACATTTCTTAAAGTTCAGCACCAATTATTGTTTGCACACAACAAATAAAGTTTCTTTTTACAGACTTTGTGAAATCTGCTCTTTTTGTAAATATGTATACTTTTACACACTTATGTTAGAAAAATGATACTAAGACAGTCAGCGCCAGAGGGATAAGGATGATGGTGGAGTTGCTAATGGGAATAGAAAAGGGCAGGTTTGGGAGAAATTATTTTAATGTAGGTTAGTAATATATCCGCCATGAAGAACAAGCTAGAGCGAGCAGAGACAGATCTACAAATGTTCAGCAAAGAACAGATAATTGTAATCATGTGATTAGATTATGTCTCCCCAGCAAAAGACAAAAAGAGAGAGAGAGAGGTGAAAAGTTCTAAGGGAGGGAGAAGCTGTCAAAGGAGTGGTCAGAGAAGTCTCTAAAGCCTGGTGGTGGGAAGTTGGCATAAAATCTCAACAAAAAAGGGATGACCCAAAAAGATAAACAACACAGAATAATAATCTGTTAGTGAAAACCAAATCTCTTCTTTTTAATCCATTTTTTACTGGGAAACATAACCCCCTCTCACTTCCTGCAAAAAATCTCTGTAGAATGTGTATTTTAGTTTTCCACAGCAAACACTAGCTTCTGTATGAAGAGTTCTTTGATGCCAAAGTAGTAGTTTTATTAAAATGTCAGCTTCCTATTGTCACCAACTCAACAATTACTCCTTAAATCTTTTTGTCAAATATAAAGAATGTGCAAAACCAGATGCAAACATCCAACCAGATGAACTATAATTTTAGTTTCTTACTCACCCCTCCTGTGATCAATGTATTATTACTGGGACAGAAGGTGGCCCTTGTTGGAGTAATATTAGTTAAAGCTGTCTAGAGAAGGCCACTTAAGTAAATTTAACTGTCATACAAAGTGTTTTAAACAATAGTATTCATTTTACCCTAAGATAGGTTCATCCCAACCAGCTAAAATATAACTTGCACTGTCTAGAGCTTTAAATTGTATTAGTTATAACATTTAAGTTCAAATATTAAAAAAAAAAAAAACAGCTTTATCTTAGTCTAGCCAAGGCTTTATTTTATCTATTTTGACACTACATGCTTTAATTTAATGTGTGTATTGTGAAATGGAGTAGGTTCTCCATACCCTTAAAGAATGAACCTACAGAGAAATTTTTGTAGGACTCTTTTGTTGGAAAAATTGTCTTAAATTACAAAACCCTAAGACATTTTTTTGTTAAAGCATTAGTTAGGAATATGGTAACAACCCACATACAAATACCTCCTAACCCTGATAGGAGGATCAGAATAAGTTTCAGCTTTAAAAACTACGGAAGGAAAACCCTGAAAGACTAACTACATATTTTAGCATGAATGGACATACCTTCCTAACATCTGAACTTTTCGGTTCTGTTGTCCAGGTGATGATCCGAGATACCGCCAGCCTAGTTTCACTTGAATTTACGAAATCTCCTGGGTCCATCTGCTGTGCAAGAGTCTCTATATATTTAAGAATTGCAACTTTAACCTGCAAAGGTAAGCAGAGTCAGGTAAATAGATAAAAACAAAAGTGTGCTGTAAATGTGAGTGTACTCAAGAAACAGGGTTCTATTTATTTAGAACAAATAATCCAGAATGGCTAATATAATGGGACAAAATGAGATACTTTTTTAAAGCACATTAAATATTGGCAATTTTATCAGAAGTCTTTTAGCTGATTTTAAAATCAATTACCTGGAGTCAATTTTTTGTTTAATATTCATATAGTATCTATGATCTGTAAATGAGTCTACTGTACTAACAGACATCTTAATTCTCACTAACATTAAATAAAAAAACTAGCATACTGCATGTGCAACTATTTAGCCATTCACTTTCTATTTAGTTTGTTTATATTTGGCATAGGGAGCACCACCTGATGAATTGGACAGGATACATACAGATGTAATTGGCTTCTTCCAGTAAACTGTACATAATTTGTACTCAGAATCCCCTGGCAGTCCCTTTAGCAGCAGAAATCTATGCTGAGCATTAAACATCTTTGTAAGGGGATAAATTTTGTAAAATATCTTCCTATTAAAAACAAACCATAAGGAGAATAGAGCTGTTACAACAAAGCAGTGCCAGTGAGTAAGCAATAATACACATGGCAATCAGTACACACACTTTTCTTTGAAGGAATTCATTACATTAATGAATGTCAGTGTGTTTATGAATAGACATAAATGAGACAAGTAAATGGGGTGGGTGATTATTTGGATGATCTGGTTTAACTTTTTAGCTGTTTCTGTCTCCATTAACTATGGTACTAGATCTAAGATTATGCACAATAAAATCTGAGAGATTTTTTTTTAAAATGTGTTTGTGGTTTGCACTGATAACTGTTCTGAATAAACATAGATCATTTAAAAGCTTCTCTCAGTCATCCTAATATTTCAGATATATAAAAAATAAAGTGTGTCAATGCACTGAGTGACAAAGATGTTAGTGGCAGGCAATGAAACTAGATGTAATTTAACCATATTAATTCTTTCCCCCTCATGCTGGCTGTTAGGTCTTGCCTTCTCTGAAGTTACACGTAACCCAAGGATTGAAGCTCTTTGTGATGCATACGTCAATGGAAAATACTGTTGAGAACCTAGCAGCTAGAAGTTTCTCTTTTTGAGATCAAAATCTTAAAACTACTTATATTTTCCAAAATGTGTATTTCAAAAAACATACTAAAAACAAAACTTCTTCTTTCTAATAATCAATCAAGTATAATTGTGCGCATATACTATTTTTCCTCCCCCACAAGGCTAATGAGCCTTTTTGTGTCATTTTTGTAACATCGCTGTGTCCATCTGCTAATGATATCTTAAATGTATACTGCGATATAGGAGGGCCAGGGAGCAGTGGTTGAGTGCTCAAGAGGAAATATATAAGCCCAAGGCTAATTAAGGCATGGTTCCCTGGAGACTAGGGAGGATGGCTACAGGTTAATTGGAGCACCTGCAGTCAATTAAGGCCCTGTCAGGAACCTAATAAACCCCCCCTGCTTCAGGAAGTCAGAAGGAGGCAGGAGAGAGGTCTGGAGCTTGGAGGTGTGCTGTGAGACTTGAAAGGTCAGAGAACCGAAGTAAGGGAGACCCTGCCCCAACAGGGAATGGAGACTCCCTCCCCCAGCATCTAGGGACCGAAGGTACCCCACCCAAGGGGGAAGAGGGTAAGAACCCGCAGGGATTGAGAGGCGCTGGGACTCAGAGTGAGAAGAAAACCCAGAACCCTCCCCTGCTTCCTTCCTTTACCACCTTCCCAGGTCACTAGCGGGGCCCTCGGTGCCCCAAAAGCAGGGGTAAGAGGTGGTATCTTAGCCCCCGCCAAGAAAAGCGCAGGACCCACCATACTAACTGGCCATCTTGTCACAACATATACCTTTACAACCAGATGCTGCAATCAGAAACCAATGATAACATGGTGCAAAAAAGCACCCAGCTATCTGTACACAGAAATTCCTAAGAACAAGATATAAGGTTTACTCAACAGTTAAAAATTGTCAAGAAAAGCATTCCCAATGGATGTAGAGTCAAACTGTCTACAGACAGGGAGGAGTACTGAATAGAAGGTGAGTAGAAGTAGGAACCATCTAAAGGGCAGCTTGTGATCTCAGTTCCATTATGAACAATAAGAGATGGCAGTCATTTTGAAAAAGGTTAGTGCTTCATGTTTTTGTTTTTTTTTTGAACGAGAACATTATTCTTCTGTGTCTGTGGAAAGTTCTATGTTGAAGAACAAGAAAAGATGACCATTAGAGATAAGTTACTTACCTTGTACAGTAACTGGAGTGTTCGATATGTTTGTCTCAATGGGTGCTCCACTTCAGCGAGGCATGCTCCCTACGAGCCTTTGACAGGGGACTTTTGGTACTGCCAATTCAGTCTGCACATGAGCCGTAGCTAACCTCGTGCCCTCTATTGAGGGTATATTGGGCAGTGTCAGACAAGCTACCATCAATTCCGTCTCTACCACAAAGTCCCACAAAAGCAAAGACTCCAAAGCAGAGGGGAAAGATGGCAGTTAGTTGAGGACAAAAGACAAACATCTTGAACAACTCCAGTTACTGTATAAGGTAAGTAACTTTTTCTTTGAGTAATGTTCCTATGGGTGCTTCACTAATTTACTGATTGTATTTCAATTTTAATCTTGAGCTGTATAGGAAGTAAATTAGTTAGTGACATATCACTTATTTATATTTGTTTTCTTATTTTTGTAATAAATCTGTAAAAGCATACTAGAATGGTTCCTCTCTCAAAACTTCAATGTGGGAAAACAACTTATTTAGAAGTAAAGGTAAATGCATTGAGTAGCTCCTGGTCATGTATTTTATTTATTTGATTAAAATCCTGTTCAAACTACTACATAAGCATGAAGAAGAACAGGAGGACTTGTGGCACCTTAGAGACTAACAAATTTATTAGAGCATAAGCTTTCGTGGACTATAGCACA